GCTTTTATTAAATTCTGCAATATATTTTTTTCCGGAAAAATTTTCCGCATAATCCGAAGTATCAAAATAATGGAAACAATCCTTTTATAAAATCTCCTATGGGTCTATGTATAATATCTCGTATACGAGAGAATCGGTGTCGGTGTACAAAACTCGGGCATTGGAAAATCTTTCTTGAATGTAGTTGTAGTGGAAGTCATAAATTGTTGCCTTGGCTATCTCCATAATTGACATCCCAAGATAAGAACGAGATTTTTATTAATTATAGTTCCACCTTTAAATTCGGGTCGGGCAATCAGAGCTTCCGCACCGTAGCGACCTTCCCAGTTGTCATTAGCTTAACGTTGGAATGGTTCCGTATGTACCTTTCTTAATTTAACTCCCAGTTGTAGTGCCTGTTTCAGATTACGATAGTGAATGCTTATCGTATAAGGTGGTCAGTAATTTTTGATTTTCGGATCCTGAAAGACAGCGATGTTCGGGACATGGATTATCATCCGTAATTTTGGTTTTAGATGGATGGTGTCAAGGGCTTCATAGGGTTCAATAAATATATTAGCGATGACCGGTGATAATGGAGGACCCATAGCTGTTCCCGGCTTTTGTTCAAAAATTTGACCGTTACAAGAAAAATATATTCCAGACAAGCAATTTTTAATTAAAACGTGAAGGTTTAGTTCCTGATTCTAGGATTTAAATATTGAGAGTTTTTTAGAAAAGGGGGACTCTACGTCAAAACTAACAAGAATATAGTGTGAATCTAATGTAATGTAAGCAGCCATTCTTCGCAATAAAGATGAAAAATAAGGCCGTGGATTACTCAAGTATTAAGGATTAATCAAGGATTAAATTCTTCTGTAAAAATCAGTAATAAATTGAAAATAAAAATAAAGTTTTACGTAATATTTGAAAAATTGAGGTGCTGATTCAATATAAATTATATAGAAATAACCTAAATAAACCAACTAAAAAAAGTGACAAATGTGAACAAAAATAAAAATGAGACAGTACAAATTTTAACAGAAAACAACGAAACGTTAAGAAATAACAAGGACATGGCTAATTATTTTATTAATATGGGACATTCAATGGCACAAAACCTAAAGACCTATGATAAAAAGAACAGTTGACGTAATGTTTGCGCTAATTTCAGAAACGTTAATCGAAGAAATTTGATGTCCAGGTGTTAGTCATATCCTTTCATGATGATACCGTTCTCCTTCTTCATGGTGGCAACATCGTCTGTCCTATATTGAAAAAACTCACTATATCACTATATAATTTTTGATCCATACCTTAGGTGTTAAAATCATATGTTATCCGTCGAAGAAAATGAGGAACTTGGTCTTTATCTTTTATCAAATACTCCTCTTAATATACAGATCACTTGTACAGTCTCATACGTTACGATATATTGGAGTGCGGCGGATTGTATAGTAATTCACTATCAAGGAAAACTATACCCAACTCACTTATTATTTGACAGAGACATAAGCAATACTAGAACCCTTTGCCTTTGCCTTTGAAGCTACGACAACTAATACACATACTTATCAAACCCGTGGTTATCAAATCTACACTCCTCACAAAGTTTATATTATATTATCTTACCCCTGAGTTTGAGAGGTATAACTAACCATCGACGATTTACTACTGCAGTCAAAAACTTAGCTGTCTCACTATTATAGAATTGAGAGAAATGGAACTGAGACGCGTGTATTCACGGCGACCCATGATAGTGATGTAGATATAAAAATAATTGTTTTTCTTTGGAAAATGAAACATTTATTTGTTGCATACTACAGATATTTCCACGCCTAGGTGCTAGCATGTATGCATGAATTTGAAGGAATTCCAATGTTCTTAATTAGTTTATATTTGATTTAATTTGATGTAATGTATTTAATAAAGTTTAATGAACTTTAGAGCCTGCAGAACAAAAATTAACCATTATTATTTTCTGTTGTACAGTAGTTCTATCAAATTTTAATTTCTGTCTATAAAAAATGGTGAACATACAAAATGCCTTATTCTCTATTAATATTCGCGTCAAGCAAATGTAATGGCAATAATTTTTTGTATTTACTAATATAATCCATTAGATCCAAACCCATGCCTTACTAACAAACTAAAGAAGAACGAAGAAATCAACATAATAGCAGAAAGCTCAACAGGAAATACGTTCGATTATAATTGGTAAAGCTACAGAGTTACAAGATTTCAAATGAGCGGATAGAGCAGAGGAAGCAGAAAAAGAAGAAGCATTGGTTGTAGTTCAAAATATAATGTTAATTTTTCAAAGAAACTTCCACAGGCTACTGTAATACTTTTTACAAAAATTCTGGATTCCTCCTGCGTCGGTTTTTGCTGAGAGGAACTTGCTAATGTCACGAAACGTCAATCATCCTGTTGGCTTCTTCAGAGCTTGACTGAAACTGGCACGCAATTTACTCTGTACCTGCTTACAAATTGTTTGAGGGCGGGCGGAGCTAAATGAGGGGCTTAAACACCTCGGGTGATTGATTCCCATATTGCTGACAGGTAAAGACTTGTGTGGCTGTTAAGATTGTTAGAGTTTCTATAGATTTCTATAGACTCTCGATTGTGGTGAAGTGTATTTTATAATGTGGAAATTATGAGAGAGAAGAGCAGAAGTAAGGTATTTTAATTCTGGGTTCAGTGACTTGGGCTGAGATAATTTTAGGGCTCTGTAATCAAAAGAGTTAATAACCGATGATTTTTGGGTCGGATGGTGATATGACCATGTATTAAGGTGTCGGTTTGTGTGCGTAGGTTTTCTGTAAACATGTAATGTAATCGTAAAACGTATGTTAGGGTGTAGAGAGTTAAAATGTCTAAGTAAATCACTAGGGATTCTTGAACATGAGGTCCAATAACAAATGTATCACCAAAATAGCGTTTGCATAATTTTAGTTTTAGATGAATGGTGTCGAGAGCTTTCTTCTCAAAGGCTTTCATAAATATATTCGCGATGACTGGTGATAGTGGAGAACCCATAGCTGATCCCGACGTTTGTTCAAAAAGTTGACCGTTATAAGAAAAATATGTTTCAGACAAGCATTTTTAATTTAGGTGAGAAGGTTTGGTTCCAGAATCTCAGATATTAATATATCTGAAATGATGTTGAGAGTTTCAGGCTCAAAGAACATGAAAGAGCCTTAAGACTAAGACAAATAAACTCATTAGCGGTTGCCGAATACAATCACGAAACCGGACATAAAATTTTATTAGATAAAACTAAAATTCCTGCATGTAATCAATTCTTCTACCAACGAAAAATCCGAGAGTCTATAGAAATCTATAAACAACCAACAATCTTAACCGCAACACAGGTCTCTACCTGTCAAACAGTATATAAGCAGGTACAGAGTAAATTGCGAGCCAGTTTCAGTCAAGCTCTGAAGAAGCCAACAAGATGATTGGCGAAATTTTAACAAGTTCGACTCAGCAAAAACCGACGCTGGAGCAATCCAAAAGTTTTGTAAAAAGTAAATATAATGTTATTACGATGATTGGATCAAATATTAGAGACAACAGAAAGAGTTCAAGGTGATTGACCAAAACCAAATAAAACTAACTTAGTATACGAGAGAGTTGGTTAACGTTTCGCAACTAAAATATGTTCAGCGAACAATATTCTCGCGTTGTTGATATTTATTTCGAAATAAAGGTTAATATCAAGGCCGCGTAGGAGTTTTTGGTGAGTTTTCCCAAGAAAAAAGCATTGGTAACTGTCGCTTGATAAAAAATAACTTTTGGAAGTTCGATCCTGTGGCTTCTCCACGCACTCCCGGGCACAATGAAAAGTTTTCCACACATTATGATTTATTAAAAAGTCCTCGCTTTGAAGCCAACGTTTCCAGTAAAAACGCACGGCCACAAAGAGATAACAGGGGATTCATTTTACAGTAAACTTTTTAAATAGATTGCTTCCGTTTGAGCGACCCCGCTAACAATATAAAACTTAGCTGCGCGGACTCTATTCGACGATTGCTTCCAGGAATTCGATATTTTATCCATTTGTAGAGAACTTTTCGCGTAAACCGATTGCGTTTAAGATTTTTATTAGCGAAGTGCGGGCAAACATCGCAAAAGGGAACTAGGGTACGCCGTTAATATTGATTTCGAATTCAACGTAAGTTTTCTTTTGAAAACGTATAACGTTTATAGGTAACGACACAATAAAGCGCCTGAAAAGTTGCTTTCAATTAGGAAAGCTTTTTAAGATTTTTCTTACTTTATACAGATAATGAAACATGTTGTCTAGTTCAGCCGCGGAGGATATCATTGTAGTAATTTAATGTTCACGGTAATTAATGAAAGTTTTACTCAAAGTAGAAATCAGTTTTCATTAAAGGAATTAAAGTGGCAATATTAGGTAAGTTAAGCAAATTTCGTAATGGGAAATTTTGTGGTGTAATAGAAGATTTTCACGAAATTATATATTTTGACATAACAATCGTTTCGACAACACCGTGTCTTTTCAACAACAACAAACAACAAACATTTGATGTTGGTGTTGTCGAAAAAATAGTCATGTCAAAATATATAATTTCGTGAAAATCTGAACTTTTAGTTCTTATTTATTTTGATAAATGGATTTTCATCAAGTGAAAGCCACCTCAGTTCAATTCATTATCGCATTGATTTCAGAAGTTTTTTGAAAATGGTAAATACAAAAGTTGCAAAAATTGTTAGGTTCACTGATGTATGATATTAGCGTTATACGCAGAAGACGCTCCTGTCAAGTAAACTCGTGAGTCAAATGCCGTTTATCGCACTTGTTGCATGATATACTAAAAAAATAATAATTATATAATAAAATAAATAATTTTTTCTACTCCCGTCTGTAAAATACCTAATTACATATCGATCTAGCGTGCGGAAAGCATCATTTTACCATGTCAGTTTCGTTTCCCACGGATCCGAACCACTTCGGAGATATTTCCCACGCCATGTTTGTCAATTCTGTCGGTCATGAAGTGAATGCATTCGTGTTGTTTTGCGCAAATGTACCCAAATGTACCCAAAAAAAAACAAAGAAAAATGTTATGCAATATATCAGATAATTTAAATACTACGTGCTATAAGCTACAATTAAAATCTAGCAGACTAGTCGGTAAGCAAAGTGTCATTTATAATTTAAGTTTTCCACAGGAATTTTACAAACCGTTCGCATGAACATTTGTGGTTTTTACAGTTTTTATGTTAATATCTTGCCAACACCAATTGTACCATTTTTAAATATCCATGTCTCATCAGTACAAACAAAACAAAATTGAAGGACCTGCTTTTTCTTGCTCATGCGATCTTAAACGTTTAATGCTCTTAAAAGCTTTATCCTTGGATGAATTTTCTTATTCTTTAAATAAACTACATAATGATCAATTGTAAAAAACTAAATAAACAACATAACGTTTTAAAATTGTGTTTATTCCTTTACGTGGCATCCAATATTACATCTCTCTCTGTCCAACGTACACAGTTAATAAGTGACAGCAATAGCAGAACCGATCGGAACGATAAACGAATAGGTTTAATGGCAACTACTAAATATTGTGTTTGAATACTTGAATACTTGAAAAAAAAGTATATATATATATATATATATATATATATATATATATATATATATATATATATATATATATATATATATATATATATTATTTCACACAAATGTAGATCTCTCACAACTGTATTTCTAGGAGTAAACAATTTGGAGGATGATGGCTACCGTGCTTGGAATTGGAAGGTTCAGTGCTTCTAGGTCTTGAACAGTTTTACTGTGGACGATTGGCATATGTTTTAATTTCATTTTGAGCTTTTTTTTCACTTCTTGGTTATTCAGGTAATGTACAAGGAGACCAATCTCTTTCCAGTAACAAGTGATTTTTCTTTTTAGACTTTTCTCCCACGATGGTTGCCTTGACGTTTGTTGGGCATTCTCAAGATTCAAAGATTCCGGCCAATGCCATGTTCATTGCCGTCACGTGGCTTCTGACTCCTTGTCCATCTTGAATCGCGGCATTGCTGGTCCATTGCTACCCTTTCGAACCTTTGATGGAAAATTATCGAAAACATTAGGAAACTCACAATATATAAGCACAACCAAATATAGACTTAACAACTAGGGAGTCATATAAGTCTTTAGACACTGAACATTGTCAAACGCTTGGGTAGCGCGGGAAATAAAACAGATATTAAAATTAATATCCCTATCAACATGCACTCCAAGGTCATTAACCATCCTATTGTCCACCAAAGAAGTATAATCAATACATTACAAGCAGGCAATTGGATTTAGTTTTCTAGAAAATCTAAACTTATGACATTTTTGACTCTTAAGCAGAAAAACATTCTCCACGCACCATGATGACAGTGTAATTATGTTATTCTATAGAGCCTTGCAGTCATCCATTGTACTTATTACCCTATACATCATTAAGTTCTCTGCGAATGGCAGAATGTTATTTGAAATATTAGAGCCTATATCATTGATAAAGATAGAAAAGGGAAGTGGCGTAGATTACTATCCTGAGGGATTACTACCACGGGTTGCGGTAAACTTAAACGCTATGATAGGTATGACCTCAAAACCCAATCAAATTATCGTCAAGACCAGTCGAGGACATCTTACTCAGCAAAATCAGTCGGTCAAAGGCGAGAAATCCGTGTAGATTGTTTCGACTTATAATTTGTTACTTAAGCTTAACTGACATACTGAAAACAACAGACAATATTTATAACTGTCGATCTATGCGTATCGAAACCATGCTATTGTGCTGCGATGAAATTTTTTACCTGAGGAAATAAGGATTCATACACGGTCCTCTTAGCGAAATGAGGTAAGATACAGATAATTAGTTATAAAGGATTTGTCGCCTGATTTAAACACAGGAGAAACTATTAGCAGTTTTCCGGAGTTTCGGAAACATGTTTGTTGATAATGAAATATTAAAAAGAAGGACAAGATGTTACTATGTTACTATCCACATGGACACAGTCGCTAATAATAAATGAATGTACCTAATCCGACCCTGAGGTCAATTTAAATTATTTATTTTTTTAAATATTGAAAAGTAGTGTTTTCTTTTATGCTATTTGTGGAGTTAAATTGATAGTTTCTTAACGTTTATTCCATTATTGTAAAATTTAATAATGCTTATTGATTTATTATTATTAGTATTAAATTTATTACTGTAATTAAGATAACAAAATAGAGAAAATAGGGTTTTCATTTAAGAAAAATGAATTTTTGGTCCGTCACCAATTTTCAAAGATAGCAAGAAAATAATGCAGTGTATCTAAAAATAAAATATTGGGTTGTTCGGAAAGTCATTTCGTTTTTTTTGGGGAACATGAAAGACAGTTTTCGTATAAGGAATAAATATTTTATTAAATTATATATTGGCCATTCTGGTCCAACACCTTTTGCCATCTTTCTGGCAGTAACATAATTCCCCTCTCATAAAAGTTTTGGTCCTTGCTGGCAAAAAACTGGTTCAGGTGGTTTTTGACATCTTCATTTGAGGAGGTTTTGCCATCCAAAAAATTTTGCAGGGACCTGAACAAATAGTAGTCGGAAGGAGCCAGATCTGGAGAATATGGTGGATGTTGCAGTACGTCCCATTCAAGCTGTAAAAGTTTTTGGCGAGTGACCAAACTTGTGTGAGGTCTCGCATTATCCTGGTGGAACACTACACCCTTCCTGTTGATTAATTCGGGCCTCTTCTGTTTAAGTGAATCATTCAATTTGTCCAGTTGATGATAATAGACTTCTGAATTAATCGTTGTATTGTCTCGCAAAAGCTAAAAAAAAACGATTCCTTTGACATCCCACCAAACGGAGAGCATCACCTTTTTTTGGTGAATGTTGGCTTTTGACACGCTTTGAGCCGGTTCATCTTTTCTGCTCCATGACCTCTTGCGTTTAACATTGTTGTATACAACCCATTTTTCGTCCCCAGTAATAATCCGCTTCAAAAATGGACGCTTGAGAAGCGAATCACACACGTCAACGCGATGACACAAATTTCGCTCCGTAAGGACATGGGGCACCCACACATCGAGCTTCGAGGTTAAGCCCATGCCTTTCAAATGGCCATAAACAGTCGAATTCGACAAATTTAATCTCTCACCGATCTCTCGTGTGGTTATTCGCCGATTTGCATCAACTAATGCCTTTATCGCATCTTTGTCAGCTTCGACCGGCCTTCCAGACCGTGCATCTTCGACATCAAAATTGCCGGATCGAAATTTTGCAAACCACTTCTGGCAATGGCGTACTGTTAAGACGCCTTCTGCATACACATCCGTCAATTTTTTTCTCGCTTGGACAGCATTTTTACCTTTTCTGAAGTAAAAAAGTAAAATATGACGAAAATGGTGCTTATTGCTCTCCATATTTAAAAGGGCACCAACCAAAAACTACTGCGTAGAATTAACAGAACTTTTTCACACACAAGCCTTGCAATATCAGCTCTCAAGACATATAATGGTTATGCGGCTTAAGTGTGAAGTTGGTTTCGAAAAAACGTAATTAAGTCCTCTGACGGGAAAAAACGAAATGACTTTCCGAACAACCTTATAGTTACAGCGAATCGAAATGTTATCAAAGACAATGAAACACCCCGTACATTAAAAGTACCCAGTATTTCTCAAAATGCATTTTTTCATATCTATATTGTTGCTATGTAAACTATTCAATAGTATTATAACATGTCATTATTTTTCAGCGCCGGATAGTAAAAATTGATCTCTGGGCGATACTTGGATATTGATGGAACTGAGTTTAGTACGTCCGCCGTCTGGCAACAAGTTTATCTGCTGCAGTGAGGTTTATTCCGGATAATGAAGTTCACTTAATTGCCATCGTCGTCAAGCTGACAAACTTTCGGAAGTAAATAAATGCGCCGGCGTCAAATTATAAGCGGACTTAACGTTGATTAATCGCAGTTTGTAAATTGTAAACGATGCAAAATTGTATGGCTAATAGAGAGAACGGCGAGCGCACAGAACTAGAACGTTTTGCGTAGAGCAATCCAATTTGCAGTGTACCAATTTCAATTTTTGTGCAAAATATCCAAAATTAGCCCGGTAGGTTCAATCAGTGGCAGTATAATTTGCAGTTGACCAGCTAAGTGATAGATAAATTAGCTAAAAGTCGACATCCAGCGTAAATGAAAGTAGAGGTGAAATGGCGACTTTTTTTTACTAATACTGATAATAGTATATTATGCAACAAGTGCGGTAAACGGCATTTGACCGAACGTGTTGCATACTATACTTTTTCTACGACCGTTAGTTTTTGGGTACATTTTCGAAAACGTTCGATTGCTCCCAAACCAGTGAGGTAAAATCTCGGAAATGTCCGAATTGACTCAGATACGTGAGAAGCGAAACTGCAGTGGCAAAGTGGCCCTTCCTGCACGTTAGATCGGTGTGTAATTAGGCATTTTCGAAAGTCCTTTTTTTAATAAAATTTCATTTTTTAAATGTATTTTCAAATTTCACCCCTAGGTCATGCAGCATACCTCATACCACAGATGGCGAACCAATGGCGCGAGTGCACCAAGTGGAACGCCCAAAAATATTTTTTTTTTATATTTGATAAAAACTAATTAAATCTTAGCAATCTACACTTAACCTTCACCTGACTGAAACCTGGTTAAAATTGATCAAATATTTTCTTTATAATCATGTTTTTTTAGATTATTTTCCTCCTGACAATTCTCCAAAAATACTTTGTTTGAATATAAGCAATAATAACCCAAACAAAAATTATTAAAGTTTAAGAATAATTAGCACTTTGTTGTTCTAGATCAGTTTTGGTATTGTGTGTTTTAACTTGTTTTGTTAAGCTTACTATAATAATACCCAAATTTATTTTCAACAGGTTTACAGCCAATTTTCGGGTTGGCTCATGCGTTCAGGTTTTCGCTAAAAATCTTCGGGGTGCGCATGAGGAGTATCAATATTCGGTTCCAATTAGCATACGCGCCATATGCAAAACTGTTTGTGTTAATTCTTTGTGTCCTGTTCGGAAATTTTCGATTTTTTTCTCTCCCCTCCATATATTAAAATATCTATAAGTATGTGGGTGTTTGCGTTAAATATTTAATTTCTAGTTTCAACAGTCGCGACAGTATTATAACGATGTTTTCTTTCCTAAAAACATTAATGACAGCTTGTTTCTTAAAGTGTTTGGAAGTTGTCAAAAACTGAAGGTTGGTGATAAAAACAAAATACTGACTTTTAGTAACTTTTACACTGTAGATTGCCTTAACGATTCACCGAAAACATCGATCGAGAAACCACGAATGCCTTGCTCAGGGAAATCGCTATCTCGTTAGTTTAGGACCAGTAGGACGAACAACTGACATTCAATTTTTAGACGAATAACGTGAAGAGTATATCTAATAAGACAAAATTAGCGTCAAGGTATAAGGAAAGCTTAGTTAGTTACCTTAGATTAGTAGATAATGTAAAGAAAGATGAAAGTACTTCATATAGAATACAATAGGTTGAAGGGCTGTAAATCTAGCATTAATAACAGATATTTTACGTTAATATCGTTTAGGTTTTTTCATTTTCTTTTACCTTTTAGACCCTGTAACAAAAATGTGCATTTTAATGACGGTGACATTGTACATACATTCGATGATGAACATGAATATAGAACTTCACACTACCAAATAGACAAAATGAGTTTTCAAAAAAGTATAAAACATACGAAGTATATTTTGCGCGATTTTTTACGCACAAACTTTAATTGTAAATTTCAGACTTTGAACAGTGAACAACAAAAATTAAAATTGATTAAAACATCTCTTGGAGAATTCCATGGTAATGCATTCTTTTATTTTGATTTTAAAGGAAATAACTAACGCAAATGAAATTATGTTTCATTTAAATTGATATTTTACATAACTATCCAAAATTACAACTCGCATCAGCTAATCCTTTCCTTTGCATAAATTTGACTTTTAAATACCGAAATAAAACAAGTAAAATTCTATGTTTGTTTTTTTTATTTACACGATAAATAATATATTGCTATAAACTTACTACTAAACTAACCAAAACTAACACTATTTA